CGAGAAGAACCCTTCTCTGCTTATGGCCTGGACCTGAGCCACACTGCATGACTTCTTATTCTCCAAGTCCTTCCTCACCAACTTCTCCCCTCCCACTTGCTCACGCTGTACCTTCCGCATGGGCTGGCCTTCCCGGTGTTCTGGACGTGTTCTGTCCACTCATCCACATCCTCTCCCCTACCTCTCCACCCTGCCCTGCGCCCTTGCTGGCCTCTCTGAGTTGCATAAACAGATTCCTTTGCCTTGTGATCCCCAGTCTGGCTCCCCAACGGAAAGCACTGGCTGGAGACTGGAAGGCACAGGCAAACAACATGAAGAATCTCCTCTTCCGATGCCCTTCTGGCCAGAGTGCGGCAGGCTGGCACTCCTCTCTACCCAGAGTCACAGCTGCTGCCAGAAAGCCCTCTCCACGCAGCCACTCTCTTTAGGTTCCAGAGCCACTCCCTCCTCCTGACCCTACAGGCCAAGGATGGAAATAGCTCCCCAATGTGACAGCCCTGGCCTTGCTGGTTGTCCTACACTGTTGTAAATAACCAATACTGTTGTAAATACCCTCTCCTTCAAAATAGCTCCTCCTTCAACTCTCCTGAATTATTCTGTTTGAATGTGCCATCTGGTTCCTGCCAGGACCCTCTGACTGATGCAGACTGCATCTCTACCTCTCAGCGTGCTGCCTGATGCCTGTTCAAATCAGGCCTGCTCTACTGACTTGCCTTGTTTTCTCGAGACAGAATCAATCTCTGCTTCTTGGGTCTCCTGCCACTGTCTGTCACTAAAACCACAGCTCAGAATGTCTTAGGTTTGAATATGACTCCCCCAATAAAGTGGAGGCCCTTCAATGGTGAGGAATATGCCTCCATTGCTGCCAACGTCCCTAGTGAATAGCAGAGAGGCTGGCAAAGGGAGATGTGCCCAATAAATGCCTGTTTAGAGGATAGAAACACTCACCATGTGGTTCCCTAAAATGACTTGGAATAAGATATAAGCATAAAGTTGGGCTGTGTAGTACTCAACCCCAAGACCATCAAGGCCACCTTCTCCACCATTTGCCATAACCCTGGCTATAGCCTCCGTGTGCATGCCTCAGGTGATGGGGAGCTCACTCACCTGCAGAGAATTACTCCCCTGGAAGGAACATTCTCATAAGAAAAGGCCTTGCCTGTTACTCAGTTCAACACTGCCTCCTGTGATTGAAACATTCCAGTACCAGCCATGGCTTAGAAACCATACGGAATAATTATGCGCCATTTTCCACGGAACATGGCTTCTGATACTTGAAGTGCATGTGTCATAGGCCTGTGGTCCTTGTGAGAATTTTCTTATCCAGGCCGAACATCTTCAAATGGTTACATGACACGGCTCCTGGACCCCTCACTGTCCCAGTCCCCTTCTTTGTGCTCATCCTCAGGTGGCTGTGCTTATCATGGCCTCTTAATAAGAAAACTCGCTGCTGGTGTGGCTCAAGGAAACCCAAGGCCATTATCCAGTTCTCCTCCAAACCCACTCTCTCAGCACTTCGTAATCCCAAGCTCTCTAGAGCAGTTGGGAAGAAGAGAGTGAGAACAGAAGGCAAGGAGCAGGTCTCTGTGGCCTGCAAGGATGTCTGGGCAGCGCTGGGGAGCTGTGCACTGCAGACAACCAGGATGCAGGGATCTACAGCCCCCTTAACCCCCGCATGACCACTAAGAGGCCATGTGAGCTTTGGCCTTCAGTTCCCTCTATAGAGGATGTTTCTGAGTCTGCAGCCCCAGATCTGCTAGGGCTGGATGCTCTCCTATAACACAGGGACCCAAGGACTATTAGATAACAAGTGTGTTTAAACGTGTTGAAAGACATTGTACTTCTCTGATGGAGTCTGCCAATCTGCCCAGCTGCATTATGGGTGGATCTTATTTTACTCAGGAGAATCGCTACATAAATTGTCACAATGATGACATTTCATTGGGGCTACTCAGAGTAGGCAATGGACCAACTATTTCTCACCAGTCTATTGCACACTGAGTACAGAAATGGGGAGTGAGCCCTTAGATACATGTACAGAACTCAGACGCTGCTTCACCATGCTTGTGGTATTTCATTTTATATCAATTCACTTTTGCTGTATATTACAAAGGTACTGTTTTGTAGCATATAGAAAAAACAAAACCTGGCCCTTCACCATAGATTGAGAAGAAGCAACTGAAATATTGTCTTTTCATATATATATATATATATAGAGAGAGAGGAGAGAGAGAGAGAGAGAGAGAGAGAGAGAGAGAGAGAGATGT